ATACTTTTGATTAACATAATGTGCACAGAACAAAACTAAAATTAATTTATTACCCTATACAAAAAAAATCCAATTTTGTTTGAAAAAGTATACAAATTACGTCCCTTTGTACAAGTTCTCTCGATATACTAGTTACAAAAACAATACAGCAGGGAAAAAAAAACTATTTTTTTAGTTGTTTTTTTTTTTAATTTGCACTGAATTTTTTACGTATGTTTTTGTGTTTGTATTTGCATTTATGTTATAATTGCGTTTGCGTTTATTTTGCGTTACGTTTGCGTTTGTGTTTTAGTTTTGGCTGTGGTTGTGTGTGGTTAGGGTTAAGTTTAGAATTAGAATTAGAATTAGGTTTATTGTTATGTGACCATATTAGCATATGGACAATCAATTGGAAAAGTAACATATTTCCTAAACCCGGGTAATAGAGGATATATACTGTTTAATAAACACACAAGTCACGGTCCCTTACAGATAGGTTTTTTCACAGAGGACAGTGCAGAGCCTGGCCGGAACGGCTAGTATCATATATTTATTTATTTATTCCTTTATAATTTTTTTAAAGAAGTGCAATAAGTAACATAACTGGTTTGAAAGTTTACCTATTTTTACACTACAACTCAGTGTGTTAGTTACACTTTTTACAAAAGCACTTGTCCATCACGGTGCAAGAAAATAATCTTTTTTTTAGGCTCTTTAAACAACTTGCCCGGGTGTCGCCCGGTGCAGCACTTAGTGGTGTCACCCCCAGAGGGGACAAACTTTCAAATTTTCGATTTGCACCCCCCCCCCCCCCCTCAAACTATCGATTTGCACACACCCCACCCCACCCCCCCCCCCCCCGCCCCCCTCAAATTTTTCTCTATATATTTTGCTATTTTTTGCCTTGGTGTCACCCCCTAAATTGTGTCACCCGGTGCGGTCCGAACCCCCCGCCCCCCCCCCCCCCCCCCACGCTACGCCCCTGATACCATGTCAACATTAAACTTTGAAGTTATTTTTAAAGAGATGAAAACCCTACCCAATTTTTTTTTATAACAGACTTAAAAGAAATGGTTTAAATTACTTAATTATGTGTTTTCTTATGGTGAGGTTTTATTTATTAAAATGTATGTATTTTGGTGTGTGCATATTACGTTAACCCGAAGATTTTAAAAAAAAATTTAAGAAACTTCTTATACCCTTGTGTATATTTACAGCTGCAACTACAGCAAATCTCCAAGAAACTTTACAGTCAACTACCAAAAGGGAAACTACCCAACCTGCAGAATGGACGTAGTCCACTGTCCTAGAAAAGCATAAATATTTAAATCTATATGGCTTGTAGCAGAAAAAAATTACATTTTTACACAAATCACATGTTTTATTCATCATTTTTAACGTTTGAAGTTGAGTATCTTTTTAACGACAAAGAGGCCTCTACTTCACGCCCCATAGATCGTCAGTTTTGGAAGGGGTACTTTTTCCTTACCTCTTTTTTAGAAAGGACTTTCAATATTCAATGGCTAAAATGTCGAACACACTGTTATTTTAATTTACAGAATCTTCATTTCTTTAGTCGATAGCGATTATTAAATAACACAATGTAGAAACTTTTGAGGCTGTGTTTTTGTAACAATACACGGGTTTTTGTTTTTTTAATTGGTCGAAATAAGAAATTTCATGAGTTAACAATTGTTTTAATCAAAGATAGCAAGCTTGTTTTATATATCTTGTTTCTGTGCATTCAGAAGCTTATTTTCATGAAGTTTTTGTGTTTTATTTTCTACGTTTTAGTAATTCGTTCATAAGTAGACACAAAATATCTATCTATATATAATTCTCTTCATAGGGACCATAGAAAACACCACGCAGCTTAGCCACCACCCTAATCCCCACCTGTCAGGTGAGCCGTGGTTCGCGCCGAATGTTTACAATAGTAGAGCAGGTTCGGTTCGAATAAGTGACGGCTATTAGGGGCAGATTAAATAGCTTGCGATCTCTGAAAGATACGTATCTCCCCTTTCGTAACGCTTGTGCTAACTAGCCGTCCGTGACAAAAAGTTCACCGCTGTTATCATGCTAATGAAATGATCGCTTGATGTTTATTCTCTGTTACCTATCTTTTTGTAATTCACCAAAGTAATTTAATATTGATTTTTAGAAACTAATTTAATTTAGTATTAAATTTTTAAAAATCGATATTCTTGCATTGTCACCAAACACGAACGTGACTTGAATAACTTCATTGCGCATGCGAAATTAGTAAAATTGTAGTTACCAAGAGATACCACAAACCCACAAACAGACATTTTTTCACTCAGCAACAATCTGCAAGGCAGCCGTTGTTTCATTTTGGAGTTTTCTAAATGGGTTGCTGTCCCCAGCTAACAAGCCTCGATTGTCCGGGGGTCTGAATTTGAAACTTTTTGAGTTAGCAGTCATACGCTATCCCGCCTTGTAAATTGAAAAACATTATGTTGAAGACTCTAAGGGAAAGACTGTAAGGGTGTGTGAGTTTAATGTTAAATATTTACTTTTATTCTTATCTTCATGATTCTTATATTCACCATTTATCAAAGTGAGCTTCATCTTGTTCATTTTCAATTGTAATATCCCATTTAATTTTCATTCGTTTGTTAAATTACTATTGATTTAATTATTTAATTTTAAAATGTAGCTATTTTAGTCATGTTTACATCGAACTGGTATATATCACTAAAATAGATTAATTTTAACTACACGCATCAATAGTGCTTGAAATAGACAGTGTACGTAAACACAGTGGCTAAGCGGTCGGATGTTACCCGGTGCGGCACTTAATGGTGTCACCCCCCAGTAGCGACCTTTCCCGGGGACAAACTTTCAGTTTTCGATTTGCACCATCCCCCCATCAAACTTTCGATTTGCACCCCACCCCCCTCAAACTTTCGATTTGCACCCACCCTCAAACTTACGATTTGCACCCCCCCCCCTCAAATTTTTCTCTATATATTTCGCTATTTTTTGCCTTGGTGTCACCCCCCTAAATGGTGTCACCCGGTGCGGTCCGCGACCCCCCGCCCCCCCCCCCCCTCGATACGCCTCTGGGTAAACATTAAACAATTATGTCGCAATCTGTTACTGATAAATTGTGCAGTACTGATTGATAATCGCTTGAAGATTTTTTTATTTTTTTCTATCTGTTTTATACGTTCGTTTTCACGCTGTGAGTTCTGTTCATATCACTAGTCCCATTGTTGTTGATGACTTATCGCTCTATCGATAAAGTTAAGTTATAAACAAAATAGGTAAAAAAAAGTATGTATAGAATAAACAATACTTTTTTATCTTTATCAAAATCGTTGAAACAAAACAAAGCCCGTAATGTTTGTTAATCAACCTGTATGATCGAGTTGCTTGACATCGGTTGGTTAATCCGATCATCTGTTTATTATCTTTTAATTTACCCACATACTGGTGTTAAACAGCTCAGGCAGAGATTTGTTGTGTTTTTTTTTTTTTTTTTTTTATAATGGAAAGATGACAACTGTAGAGATCTCATATCGAAACAGTGGCGTTGTTACAGTTGAGTTGGGCTTGGTGTTAAGTAGTGAATGTGTGGCATTTGCCTTGCGACGACTTTTAGATTGAATACACCTTGTCACTCGTATTCTTCTATAAATCTTTGGTAAGGATAAAAAATCGGACGAGTCGATCTTGTGAAATGGTCTAGCACACAATTTTGTTTCGTCACTAGCTCGGACACAAAATGTGCTGTAACCCATGGTGTCAACCCCTCCGCCAAAGATATACTAAAACTATATAACCATCGCAACCAGGTCCCAAAACATAAGTGTACAGCGCATGGGCTCTTAGGAAACTATGTGAGGTTTATTATAACGTGTTTCTAGCTTTGTAAATAACTTAGTAATGGTGTGGGAGGAATTGCCATATACCAGTCTGGCATATGTAAGCCCAAAAAGCAACAATAAGTTTAAAAATGTATTATTCAGTCAACCGCCACAACAATGTAAGAAGATCATTATCTAGCAACGACATATTGGTTCTAATGAATAACCATTTGTAATTAATATCTTTCTTTTACCTTTGTTTGATAGCACAATCGATTTTGTGTAACCAGGTGTGAGAGATAGATGTGCATCTAGAGCATATAAGTTTTTATGTGTCCATACGCTTAATTTAAACTTTGTATATATATATATATATATATATATATATATATATATATATATATATATATATATATATATATATATATATATATATATATATATATGTATATATATATATAATAGCCGTCCCGGCCAGGCCTCTGCGAAAAACATATAAAGTAACATGACGTGTGTTTATTAAGCACATTGCCTGGTTTAGGAAATATATTACTTTCCAAATTTACTCTAATCACAACAAACAAAAACTAAAAAAACAAAAACAAATGCAAACACAAACCCAATCACAAACGCAAACACTAACCAAAACACAAACCAAAACACACAGAAAAACGCAAACACAAACCCAAACTGAAACACAAACTGAAAACCCAAACCTGTGTCCATAGACAACTTATCGGATTTGTTTTTATATAGACTGAGTAAAATGTTCCAAGTTTATAATCTAAATATAGCTCAAACGTTCTAAGCTTTTGTCTAGCTAATGTATAGCTCAAATTTTTCAGACTTTTGTCTGTTTAATGTATAGCTCACATGATCTAGGCTTTTGTCTGACTAATGTATACATCAAATGTTGTAGGCTTGTGTCTGACTGTTTATCATAAATATTGTGTAGGCGGAACATTCATATGTATAGGCAACATATTTAGCACCTCAATTAACACTTGGTGTTTGAAATTACACAATCTCCTAGCCCGCACATGTCTACAGAAATTAAGTTAACAAAAGAAGTAAGGGTTCTAATGAATAAATTTTACCATGTTCATTTTATCGATGGGTCAAAAATTGAACAAATGAAAAAGTTATTTTTATATCCCGGGGCTATAACTTACCGTATGCGGACTAGCTGCTTTCAAAACCTTACATCAACATGAACAAGATACAACTTGTCGTTCTGGTCTCTTTAGCTTGTGTCAGTTTCACAGCTGCCGGCGTCATATTTACTAAAGGTACATTAAACGTTTGATCACATTTATCAACTATGGTTTTAGCTTCATTAATACCAGTAACTGCATAGCAGTCGAAGGATATTAATTGTGCATTTAAAAAAGTATTTTAATTGTAGACATTGACCCCGTTGCTATAACTTTCTGATATAATGACAGGGGCGTGTCCTAGTGGCGCCAAAGTGGGCTTTACCTGGAACCGTCCGAACTGTGAGAAATGTGAATGTGTACCGGGTGGCTACAACTGCTACACGTAAGTTGCAAACTTGGTAACTGTTCGCAAAGTCTATTTATTTATAAATCCTCTGTACCTATTTTATATATATATATATATATATATATATATATATATATATATATATATATATATATATATATATATATATATATGTATATACGGCTTTAATCTGTCCAATATTTTACAGCTGCACCTACAGGAAATATCCAGCAGCTTGTAATGTCGAGTATGAAAGGGGAAGCTACCCAACCTGTTGTAAGGCTTTAGTTGACTGTCCCATGAGTGCAAAGCCTTAAATCAATTGAGATGCTTGTCTTGTAGAAAGGAAAATAAAGCAAATTGGAAGAACTCTTACTATTGTTTTTATTACTTTTATATTTTTATTTAAATGTATTATATAGGATGGAGTATGTGTGCAAAGTTTTCGATATGTCTAGCAAATAAAGCGGGAGTGAGCTTCCCAAAACGTTTGCGTTAATTTCTCGTAGGCCTATACAGGAAGTATTGTAATCGTGCACAAAAAAATCACATGAAATTCTGAAAGTTTTCAACGTTTTACACCTCAGTACTTTATAATATGCGGAGTTTTGGGGACTTACTGTAATCCGGTAAACATTACAATCCAGTTTTATCGAAATTTCGACTTTGTATGCGTAATCAAGTCGGAAAAACCGGGCTTTGCAATTTTACCCGTATGTCTGTGTGTGTATGTACGTGTGTCTGTCAACATGATAACTTGAGTACAGTTACAGATAGGTAAGATGACATTTAATATGTAAGTATTATATCAATTATGTTGTTCTGTATCAACTTTTCAGCGATTTCCGATAGCCGGAAGTGGAACTTATTCTACTTTTAGTTTTTCAAAAACCTATAACTTGAGTACTGTTTCAGAGAGATAAACGAAATTTCACATACGAGCCGACCCGCTACGTAGCATATTTAGTTATTTAGTTGTTTTATTTTTTACTTTCCAGTAATTCATAATTTGTGAATTCGACACTACCAATACTACCAATGCTGCGACTGAAAATATTTGCTTTAAAACACTATCAGTAGCTCGTGAAGGACGATAACCCCCCACTCAAGCTCTCTTGTGAGCCGCCGATTACACTACCGTAGCGGCACCTCGTACGGCCCCTGGTTTAATCGTCGAATGTCGTGTGCCACTGTGCCATTATTGTAAATTGCTCCGTAAAACTAACGTAGGCGCCATAGCGCACACAGGATAGCGCATAGTGCCAAATCGCGCCTGTCGGTACTCCGGCGGACGGGACTGATTATATTTAGTGAACGATTCTATTATCCCATCTTATGCATATTCTATCGCACTGTTAAAAACAAACATAAGCTTTATAGTGCTCACAGAAAAGCCCAGGGCACCAAACAGCACCCTGCATGGGCGCCGGGGAGGGGGCGCCTGATTCAATTTATTCAATGATTATTGTTGCACATTGTGTCTTTAGCGTATAGCATTTATTTAAAACGAACGTAGGCGCCATAGTGCTCACAGGGGATCCCGAGCACTTCGAGTAACGCAATAGACGGGGGCATAGGCGGCTGCGCCTGTTGAAGTTTTAACTCTGAATATAGTAGTACCCTTTTGTCCGCTATGCAGGACGCCCGATTAACGGATGTCAAGTGCTATGATAGCCGCTTTGGAATTCTGGGCGCCAAATTGTGTTTTGACAGAAATCGCTCCCTCCCTGGCGCCGCTCATAAGAATTTTTTTTCCGCAAAAACCCTCTTGGGAGTATTATCGTCTACTCCCCAAAGTTTCATGCTACTCGGATGAACGTTTCGAACCGCATCTGTCTTTTTTTAATAGGTACCGTATATAGAGATCAAGCCCTTACGAAATTAAAAAAGATTGCTTTTACAGAAACCTCCCCTGGAGTGTTCTCATCAACTCCCCAAAGTTTCACGGCGATCGGATGAACGGTGTCAAACCGCAATCGACTTTAATTTCTTATATACGTATATAGAGAAAAATCGAATTGCGCCCTTTCGGGCGACACCCCTGCGAATTTGAATTTTTTCCGCAGAAACCTCCCCAGGAGTATTCTCAGCAATTTCCCAAAGTTTCATTGCGATCGGACAAACATATATTGTTTTTATAAATAGATAGAAACATAGAAATGGAAACACATGCAAGCCGCCATTGACACCATGAATTATTATTAAAACAATAACATCTTTAGTATTTAGATCTTATTTAAAACATTTCTTATGATGATTTCTTCTCACGCTTTCTATCCCCCCCCCCCTTTCTCACCTCTCTCTCTCTCTCTCTCTCTCTTTCTCTCTCACTTGCTTATTTATTATCTTTCTGTTCAAACAGCATAGAAAGACGAACTATAGACAAACAAAGTCAGTCTCCACCAATCTAGATATTATTCGTTCTGTGTCGTGTACACAGAGGCGTAGCGAGGGGGGTGCGGGGGGTGCGGACCGCACCGGGTGACACCATTTAGGAGGGGTGACACCAAGGCAAAAAATAGCAAAATATATAGAGAAAAACTTGAGGGGGGGGGTGCAAATCGAAAACTTAAGGGGGGGGGTGCAAATCGAAAGTTTGAGGGGGGGTGCAAATCGAAAATTTGAAAGTTTGTCCCCGGGAAGGGTTGCAACGCCTCTGGGGGGGGGGGGGTGACACCATTAAGTGCCGCACCGGGTGACACCCGACCTCGCTACGCCACTGCGTGTACAACCCACGCATAAATATAACATGTGATCACTTGAAATATCTTGGCATTCTTAACCATATGTTGACATTGATGGGACCAGCTTGTGGGATGAGTCAGCAGGCACATTAATTTACTGTATAATGTAACAGGTAAATATTTTCTTGCTGACGTTCCAGTCAACATATGTGACAGGTTGTGCTGGTCAGGTATAACATATATTACTAAATTCATACCTGAATTATCTTTAGTCATAAAAACAAAAAAATACAAAGCAGTCAGGTATAACATATATTAATAAATTCATACCTGAATTATCTTTAGTCATAAAAACAAAAAAAAATACAAAGCAGTCAGGTATAACATATATTGATAAATTCATACCTGAATTATCTTTAGTCATAAAAACAAAAAAATACAAAGCAGTCAGGTATAACATATATTAATAAATTCATACCTGAATTATCTTTAGTCATAAAAACAAAAAAATACAAAGCAGTCAGGTATAACATATATTAATAAATTCATACCTGAATTATCTTTAGTCATAAAATCAAAAATATACAGAGCAGTCAGGTATAACATGTGTTAAAAAATTCATACCTGAATTATCTTTAGTCATAAAATCAAAAATATACAGAGCAGTGAGGTATAACATATATTAATAAATTCATACCTACATTATCTTTAGCCACGATAAGGAACTAGTGAAACATCATTAGAGGCCTGGATATGACAAAGCACAGAGATAGATGGAGGAAGACGACCAAAAAGACATTGCAGCCAACTAACGGTCCAAGCTTACAGGACGGAAAGGGTAAAACCAAGAGTGCATAAAACTGTCACACGTCTTTTTTTTCAGTATGTTCCGAATGTGTTTCTCTTAGGTTAGGAGATGCGAAAGGGCAAACGTTCGGCTAGTGAATGTATTTCTTTAAAATAAAAGTTATGCAAAACGAATTTGGATGATGGCATTTTAATCGAACAAGTGGTAATGAGTCGCAATTCGAGAAAGGTCAAAGTATTATTACCAACCGGACAACTTTTCTGTCAATTTACATGAATGAGAGAGCAATCATTTAACTATAGCAGGTACATCTTAATCCCCGCTACATCACACTTGGGCAGATATTGTACATCAATGATATGAATTTGAAAAAGTATGGCAGTTTTATTTCTAAATGTTTTAAAAACTCCAAAAAAGTTCAAACATTTTAAGTTTCAATAATGGTATGTCATGTAATTTTAAACTTTTTAATAACTTTTGGGGATTTTTTTTGGGGGGGTGGGGGTGGGTTGTTTTTTTAAACTGGGCATAAGAACTATTTTGTCTCCGTTCCTCTTTTTCTAGCCTATGTCTGGGTTATACCAAAATGAAACCAAAGACATTCATACATCGTATACCTCCACATCGAAATACCTCATCAATGTAATGAGATTATTATCTAACCATGACATAGAGGTTCTAATGAATAACCATTTGTCATTTATATCTTTATGTTACTTGTGTTTGGTAGCAAAACAATTAGAAATTTAAATAAGAAACGCTTTTGTTTTGCCAGGTGTGAGAGATTATTATCGAGAGCATATGTTTTCATATATACATATGCAAAACTTTTTACAATATATATATATATATATATATATATATATATATATATATATATATATATATATATATATATATATATATATATATATATATATAGCTTCCAAGCACAACGCTAACAAAAAATCACATTGGCTCTAAAACTACCATGTTTACTTAAAACTTTTTAGTTATGGGGATGTTTGGGGATGAAAAAAACTTGCTAGACGTGTTGATTGAGGGTAAAATACTCATAAAAATGTTATCTTATGAAGACACTATACTAATCAAAATGTGTGTAGGCTTTGTTGGTGTGGGTATTTGTTAACTAAAAGCTGGTTTCACTTCTTTTTTATAAACTATTCTCATATTCTCACACTTTTATAATTATTTCAATATATAAAGCACCATTTCATATATGAAAGGAGAAACTACACAGCAAATTCTTGTGTGTTCTTAAAAAACGTAATGATGGAAAATTAGAAAAGAACTGACATTTTTTTTTAAATTAATAGGATACATTTAGAATATGATTACAAAAGAAATAGGAAAATAGCTCAAACATTTAGTAATATTCCTTTAATTTTCTATATAATAGCCAATAAATATATTGCCCAAATTTTGCTTATAGCCCAAAATTTGTTTTTTTTTTTAGAAAAAGACATTTAAAATGAAATAATTTAATCAAGTTTCAGATAATCAACGCATGTTGCGAAATACACAAAATACTTATGTACATAAATGTGACGTTTTCACAATTATCTGATTTGAATAACTTTAGTTAAGAAATAGCAGGCTGTGTCTTGAAGAAATGTAGAGGTGACGTAGTTGTAGGTGTAAGTTTCGTGTGTCCATAGACAATTTATCGAATTTGTTTCAGTATTGACTGAGTAAATGTTCCAAGTTTTTTTCTGTTTAGCTCAAATGTTCAGACTTTTGTTTGACTAATCTTTAGCTCAAATGTTCTAGGCTTTTTCTTTTTACTAATGTTAAGCTCAAATATCCAGACTTCTGTTTGACTAATGTTTAGCTCAAATATCCAGACTTCTGTTTGACTAATGTTTAGCTCAAATATCCAGACT